CCTGTGGTGTTCAAATCATCTCTGGGAGTGTTAAAACGAGTGGATGTGGAGCTTTGTGAGAGGGTTTGATGGGCTTGGGGGCACAAGATTGGACTTAACCATCTCGGAGTGCTTTTCCAACCTTAAAGCCCATCCAGTCCCACCCCCTGTCCCAGGTTGCTCCAACCTGGCCTTGGACACTCCCAGGGATGGGCCAGCCACAGTTTCCCTGGGAAATCCATTCCAGCCCCTCCCCACCCTCCCAGGGGGGAATTTCTCCCCACTGTCCCATCTAACCCTGCCCTCTGGCAGTGGGAAGCCATTCCCCCTTGCCCTGTCACTCCAGACCCTCCTGAAAAGCCCAGATTCCTTGGGGATGAGCTGGGCTGTGGGTTTGTGCATTCCCCACCAGTGATAAGGAGCTGTGTGTGCTCTCCCAGCAAAGCTAGATTGCTCCACCTGTGGCCTTGCAATGACTTGCCTGGATAACTGTATCCCTGTGATTTTCCTGGCCCAGGGCCCTCAGCAGGGAGTGTGTTTAGACAGATTTAACATTTTCTTTGCAGGGTTCATAAGGCACCTCCTGCTTATGGAGCTGGGGCTTGGCTGCTCTAGTGGGAGGTGTCCCTTCCCAGGGCAGGGGGTGGGACTGGATGGGTTTTAAGGTCCTTTCCAACCCCGGCCAGTCTGTGATTCCACAGTTTAATCAATCCTGAGGAGCTGAATCTCTTTCACCTTGGGAATCTGGTCATTTCAGAGAGACATCTCCTAAGATTTTCCCCCTCATTTTAGGCTGTCAGCCCTGCTGTTTTAAACCCTGGACTGATCCAGCTGCATCCCCCAGGATCAGCAGCCTTCCTGCAGCCACACCTGTGCTTTCATTTTGGGATTTTCAATTTGGAGTTTGTGCTCTGCAGTTTCTTTGAAACCCACACCCAGATTCCTTCGCCTGTTGTTATTTAGAGACTGCAAATCAGGAGAGATATATCTGGTGTATCTTAATTCCCCTCGATTAAAGGATCTGTCTGGGATCCTGTGCGTGCTCACACAGGAACACACACCTCTGGCTAAACTCGTTTTTCCTCCTCAGGTGAATAGAAGGTGAAGAATGAACAAGGGCTTGTGTGTAATTGCTCTGTCTTTCATGTTCAAGCACTCTTAGATATGTAAATAGCAACTTGAGGTCTGAAAGGTTCCAATTAATTAAGGGAGTCACTGGTTGTCCCTTGAGTAGCACAGCACAGCCCTGGGTTTGAACCTGGCTCAGCACAGGGGATTTAATATCAAGTGACCTGGTGCTGTAGGCTGGCCTGGTTCCAAGTTTTGCTTTCTCTGGGCAAATTCCTGCTCACATCTGCCTGCCAGAGTCATCCTGGACGTCTTTGGGGTGCTGACACTTCTGGTTTGTGGCAGCCACTGATGGTTAGCTTGGGTTTCTCAGTCAGTGTTAGACCTTGTACAGCCTGGGTGGGCGGGCAGGAGGACACTGCCCTCTTCATTCCTGACTCTTGGCTTCCCTTGGCAGGAGTGGCTCAGGTACAGGCCTTTCCAGCCCCCCTTTGGCAGCACAGACAGTGGTCCCCCTGAGGCACTGTAAGATCCCAGAGCTGCCTGTGGAGAGGAGTGTCCTGTTCGAGCTCCAGCTCTTCTTCTGTCACCTCGTCGCTCTCTTTGTCCACTACATCAACATCTACAAGACGGTGTGGTGGTACCCACCCTCCCACCCTCCCTCCCACACATCACTGGTAAGCACCAGAGGACAGATGATACTCCCAGGATGTCTCTGGGGTCGTTAAACATTACATTTTATATATATTTATATTTAATGTAAACTACACGTGACTCTGCAACTCTTTACTTTGCCAAGTTTTGGGCGCTGGCTGCCTGCTTGTCATTCTCTCTCCAATCTTGGAAGAGAGTCCAAAGAGAAGAGGATAACTTGGGAGTTTCTCTGTTGAATGTGGGTTTCTGCTGCCTCATGGGAACGGGATCATTTTGGTTTTGTCTCCACAGAACTTTCACCTTATTGACTTCAACGTGCTGACGGTGACAACCATCGTCCTGGCCCGGCGGCTCATCAGTGCTATTGTGAAGGAGGTAAAGTCCCCAGGCAGATCTCAGAGCTGTTCTTTGGGGGGAATTGCAAGGCTGTGTGTCCCTTCTGCAGTTCCAAACTCCTCTGTCTTTTCCTAAAGAGCTTTGTGATACGCCCAAGTCAGAATCCCAGGCATGGTTTAGAGTGGGAAGAGCAGAGAACAGAACTGAGAGCCCCAAACCACCTCTCCTGACTCTGTCCTTCTGGAATTGTCTCTGAATTACTGTCTCAACTAGACTTGTAGTGATTCTGCTTCCCTCCTCCTATTTGGCTCTTTTCCTGTTCTCTCCATCACTCCACCTTTCCCCAGGGAAAGTCAGTGGGTGTCTGCTCACCGTGGAAATGTCCTGTGGTGAGCAGGGCCAGGAGGGTGGGCTGGTCACACTTTAACTGCCAGAGTTTAACAAGGAACTCAGAGCTCTCCTCCCTCCAGCCTGAGGAATGAGGCCCAGATTCCAGAGATTTTGGAGAGTGGAGATTCCACAGAAGGCCTCCCTTTCCTGGCATCACTCAGCCTTTCCCTGGTGCTTTACTTGATTCACAGATTGAGTTTGCTCCCTGCAGGAAGAGGGAATGAGCCTCCCCTGTGCCCAGCTCTCTCCTCTCTCCCACAGGCTTCCCAGAGTGGCAAAGTGTCCCTGCCCCGCTCCGTGTTCCTGGTGGTCACTCGGTTTGCCGTCCTCACCGGCACGGGCTGGAGCCTGTGCCGATCCATCATCCACCTCTTCAGAACCTACTCCTTCCTCAACCTCCTGTTCCTGTGCTACCCGTGAGTATCCCTGTGTCAGGGAGGGGGATCCCTCAGGGGCACTGCAGGGGGTGTTGAGGTGAAGCCTCAGGAAGTGCTCAGTTACCTGGTCACCTTTTCCCTTTTGCTGTGTCCCATTCCGTGCTGGCAGGGCAGGTCTTTGACATCTGCCTGTGTCTCAGCTTTATGTGAGCACCAATCCTTAGATTTCTCGTGTCCTCTGAGAAGGGAGTGTGTGCTTTTCCCATAGTGTTCAGAAAACTCGTGGCTTCAGTTTCCTTTGGCTCCAGGTGGAGGGAATCAAATGACTTCCCTTGCTTCATGTTAACTGATAAAAGGGAGCTGGTTTTGCTTCCAGTCGTGTGTGGAAAATAGCTCCTTTCTCCCTGATAAATGAAGGAGGAAGCATCCATAAAGATCTGAGACTTGAGATCAGTGGTGAAGCTCTTTTCAGGAGTTTCTATAGGTATTAGAGGCCATTTAGAATCACAGAATGATGGAATGGTTTGGGTTGGAAGGGACATTAAAGATCATCCCGTTCCACCCCCTGCCACGGGCAGGGACACCTCCCAGTAGCCCAGGTTGCTCCAGCCTGGCCTTGGACACTTCCAGGCATGGGGCAGCCACAGGGAACCTCCTCCTGGCTTTGGGAAGGGGCTGTGCTGCAGCAAACCCTCAGGACTAACAGCCCTTCCACTCTGTGCTGCCCCAGGTTCGGGATGTACATTCCCTTCCTGCAGCTGAACTGTGACCTGCGCAAGGCGGGGCTGTTTGCCCAGGTGGCCAACATCGGCCCCAGGGACACGGGCGAGGTGGGGGCCCGGGGCAGGGACTACCTGACGGTGCTCAAAGAGACGTGGAAGCAGCACACGAGGCAGATGTACGGCATGGAGGCCATGCCCACCCACGCCTGCTGCCTCTCCCCGGACCTCATCCGCAACGAGGTGGAGTACCTCAAAATGGACTTCAACTGGCGCATGAAGGAGGTGCTGGTGAGCTCCATGCTCAGTGCCTACTACGTGGCCTTCGTGCCCGTCTGGTTTGTGAAGGTGAGAGAGGGCAGGGGCTGGCTGGGAGGTGGGCACTGGGCCGTGGTGGCAGCGTGGAGGGGGACATTGTTGAATCCCTAAGATGTGGTACTAATGTTATGTTCCTGATCTGTGAATGAGACAAATGTCTCCTCATAACTCATCCCCCAGGGAGGTCTGTCCCCTGGTGCTCCCACCCGCTGTCAGCTGAGCACGGGGAGCATCAGGAGCCATCCCCCTGTTTTTGGTGCTGGCACAGCAGTTCTGCATCAGCCATCCTATGTGGGTGCTTCTTTCCAAGCGGGATTAACAGCTGCATGCAGCTGCCTCCTTCTACCTGCCTGGGTGCTTTGTGTTCTGATGGCTCTGGCAGGTGGGGCTGTGCAGACACGTTGTCACACCAATGCCCAAACGTGCCACACGTTCCTGTCCCCCCACAGAACACTCAGTACTACGACAAACGCTGGTCCTGTGAGCTCTTCCTGCTGGTTTCCATCAGCACCTCCGTGATCCTCATGCAGTACCTGCTCCCTGCCCGCTACTGTGACCTGCTCCACAAGGCTGCAGCACACCTGGGCTGCTGGCAGAAGGTGGATCCAGCCCTCTGCTCCAACGTGCTGCAGCATCAGTAAGGAACTCTCTCCTGGGGTTAGGGCTGGGTTTTCCCTGAGAGGGCTGGACAGGGAGCTCGGCCTTAAAATAAAAAACGAGGGAGAAAACTGAGAGCAGAGTTGTGGGCTGACACCTCCAGTAGCACAGACACTCTGTGCACTGCCCACTGCCAAGCTCAGCCAGCAGAGCTGATTTTTGGCAAGGTTCCTGCTGCTCCTGGCTGCGGGTACCTGCCAGTTGTCACCACCGTGGTGACACACCCGGACAGGCCAACCTGCCCGTGCTCCCCGTGGGCAGGGGGAAGGCAGCAGCCCCTGTTGCCACGTGCAGGCAGCACTGAGGGCTCCCTGTTCCCTGCAGGTGGACTGAGGAGTGCATGTGGCCGCAGGGGGTGTTGGTGAAGCACAGCAAGAACGTGTACAAGGCCGTGGGGCACTACAACGTGGCCGTGCCCTCCGATGTCTCGCACTTCAGGTTCCACGTAAGGTCACGTCTCCTTCCTGGGAAACAGAGGGGTAGTACCCGGGCAGGGCCATGGTCCTCGTGTCCTGGACACCTGGGGCTGCCAGAGGGTGGCTTTCCAAGTGCCCAGGGTGGGAAGTTACTTATCCCTGTGGATAATCCCAGAGGGATCCCACCCAAAACCCACCCCAGAGGTTCCGCCTCTCGCTCGGTTGCCTCACTGTGTTCTCCCACAGTTCTTTTTCAGCAAACCACTGAGGATCCTCAACATCCTGATCCTGCTGGAAGGGGCCGTCATCTTCTACCAGCTTTACTCGCTGATTTCTTCGGAGAAGTGGCACCAGACCATCTCCCTGGCTCTGATCCTCTTCAGCAATTACTACGCCTTCTTCAAGCTGCTGCGTGACCGTCTGGTGCTGGGCAAAGCCTACTCATATGCTGCCAGCAGGGACTCAGAGCAGAAGTTAAATTAAAACAATTGCACTGATGCTGAGCTTGTTACAGAACAAACAAAACAAGAAACCCTCAGAGCTTTGTATTTTTGTTACCAC